AAATTGGCGGGGGCAATAGGGACCGGGAGGCAGTCATGTGTGCTTTGCGTGCTGCTTATAACAACCTTGAGAGAGCTTTCGATTACTTGTGTTCGGTGGTAACCTTCCTACACGAGGCAATGATGATGGACCGGGAGGTGCAGGGCAGCTCGGAATTTGTTGACACCTTTGACATTTGACACTACACTTTAATATTTAGTGTTTTTACAATATTATGAATTATGTTACATTTGCACGTGAAGTTTTCATTAATCTAGTTTTGAATTATGTATTTCGTATTAATATCTTGCTTAGAATTATGTGTGAAAATTGAATGTGTTTTGACCCCAATTTTAATAGCTACTGCCAAAAAACAGCAAAAACTAGTAGCTGCGATCAGGCGGTCTGCGACGGAGTAGTACGTTGCTGCTTTCGTCGCAGATCTGCAACGGTGTGTGGACTTCCGTCGCAGATTTTTTGGGTTGCAAAATTAGACGAATCCGTTGCAGGTCCGTTGCAGATCTGCCATAGATTTTCAGTTCCGTCGCAGATTCTAAATCTGCCACGGAATTTCAAATTCTGCAACAGCAATTGTCCGTGGCAGATCGACAGTTTTCTTGTAGTGTCAGATCAGATCTAAACAAGAATTATTATTATTATTATTATTATTATTATTATTATTATTATTATTATTATTATCATGAAAAAAACTAGGGGTACACCATTTGGGGTACGCCATTTGTATCCCCCTCCATCTCCACCACACAAAAGCAAGAGAGGAAAAAGAATCTAAAAATGAAAAAAGAAATAGAGGGTTAAGATTGATGGTGTACAAATGGGGTACCCCAAAATGGTGTATCCCTAGCATTCCTCTATTATCATCATCATCATCATCATCATCATTATCATTTTGACTTTAAAATCAAAATTAACTTGTGTGGTGCTATTGAAGGGGTGAGAGGGTGTGTTCGGGTCGGGACGGGGTGGGGGGTTTACCGGGGGTTAGATGGGTAGGAACCGTCAATTTTACAAACGGGGTACCGGAATACCCCCGGATCATCCCATGACATTGCGGGGAAGGTGGTTTTTTTAATATATTGTCACTATGGTTTGTTTCCAAATTTCCAGCATATAATTTGTTTCTAATTTTCGAATTTAATTTTACTAAATGTGAATAATTCTTGATTTTTTTACTTACAAATCCACCGCGTTTAATATTGTGAAAATTTAGGCATTTAGGAATTTTGGAGTTTTATTGACTTTTATTGTTGCTTTATATTCATGTTTTGCAATTGCTTTATGTCCATACTGTGTTGTTAAATTCTACAATTACATGTTACTATTTTAGCCTATGACTTTGAATTATGAAAGCTATTATGTTGTTAAATAACCCATTATTGATTTATAGACTACACATAAGTTCATTAAGAATAGGATTTGATAGACTTGATGTAGAAACAAACAAGTATTCTGTGAAAATAATAACATGAAATGATTACAGAGGCCATATCTTCTTCAATCACAAACAAATCTCTCAACCAAAGCATATGCTTACTGGCCTCCACAAATTGCCCATCCTTTATAATAAAGTGAACAAATAGAAAGGTATTTCTACAAGCATGAAAGAGGCATCCTTAAAAAATTTGAATACATAGAAAATACATACAAAACAAACTGCACGATACATAGCAATTTACAACTGTAAGGAAGCTTTGCTTATACAGGGGCCCACCACCAATATCCTATACAATAAGGTCCAGGTGCTAAAGGTATTCCAAATCTAACCTATTTTTCAGTACCTTTTTTTCGGTCTTACCAACGCCCTTTTCACCTTTCAAAGTGCCATGAACCCCGTCTCTAAGGACTATCTACGGAAATTTGTGATCATCTTCTTCGACGATATTTTGGTCTACAGTACGTCCGTTGATATGCATGCCGACCACCTACAGACCGTTCTTTGCATCCTTGGCAGTCACGCCTTCTACGTCAAGGCCAGCAAGTGTTCCTTTGGGTGTTCTTGCATTAGTTACTTGGGTTATTTAATCACTGAGGGTGTGCTTAAGCCGGACCCCGACAAGATTTTGGCCATGGTAGCTTGGCCAACACCCTCGTCTGTGAAGCAACTACGCGGGTTCCTTGGGCTCACGGGATACTACCGCCGGTTCATCGCGGGGTATGCTCCAATCGCCGCTCCCCTCACAGATCTGCTCAAAAAGGACAGCTTTGTTTGGACCTCTTCGGCCGAGGACACCATCTCCTGCCTTAAAACGGAAATGACATTCGCGCTAGTCCTACACCTTCTAGACTTCACGCAACCCTTCTATTTGGAGACCGACGCGTCTTTGTTCGGGATTGGTGCGGTCCTCGTGCAAAATGGACACCCCTTGGCTTTCTTCAGTAAGAAATTAGGAATCAAGAGGCGGGCGGCGTCGACATATCACAAAGAGCTATACGCAATAGTAGAGGCAATTCAAAAGTGGCATCAGTACCTCCTCGGTCGAGAGTTTATTATTCGTACGGATCAACGTAGTCTGAAGGAATTAGTCTCTTTAGTGGTGCAGACTCTGGATCAGCAATTTTACGTTCAGAAAGTGATGGGGTTCAAGTTTCAGATTGAATATAAGACGGGGTCGACAAATAAAGTGGTGGATGCATTATCGCGCCAAGATGAGGAGGAGGACACGACGGGTCTCTTCATGGCACTGGTACAGGCCGTGCCGCTCTTAATGCGTGATCTCTGCTTGGAAAATCAATCCCTACAGAAGTTACAGGACCTCCATGCGGCAGTTCTAAGAGGCACAACGTCGCTGGATTTTTTGGTGCATGATGGGTTATTATATTTCAAAAGGCGGCTGTACCTGTGCAGGACTTCACCTCTACGCTCGTCCCTACTAGAGGAATATCACTCCACTCCAGCAGGAAGGGAATGGACATTCTGGCGATTGGCGCAAGTGTTTTATTGGCCTGGCATGCGTGGTGATGTTCGTCGCTTCGTAGCTTCTTGTGCCGTCTGTCAATCCACGAAGTATTCTACACAAAAGCCCGATAGTCTCCTTCAACCTTTGCCTGTTCCCGTTCAAGTTTGGGAATCAGTCTAGATGGATTTTATTACCGGGTTGCCAGCTTCACGAGGGTTTTCTGTCATTATGGTGGTAGTGGATCGGTTGAGCAAGTACGCTCATTTTGGGCCGTTGGCAGCAGGGTTTGACGCGCCGTGGGTGGCCGGACTTTTTGTTGACATTGTTGTGAAGCTCCACGGTTTTCCTCAGAATATTATATCGGACAGGGACCCGGTATTCATGAGTCACTTTTGGAAGGAGCTATTCCGATTGAGCGGGACTTCCCTCAAGTTTTCAACGGCCTATCATCCTGAGACGGACAGCCAGACCGAGGTCCTCAATCGGAATTTGGAACAATACCTATGTGCATTCGTCTCGGAACACCCAACGAAATGGTCCGCATTTCTTCCTTGGGCAGAGCTAGCTTTAAATTGTGGGTATCATGAAGGGTTGGGGGTGTCCTCCTTTTCAGACCTTATATGGTCGCCCTCCTCCGTCTAACTGTTGCAGTGCGTTCGCGGGTACCGGAGGTGGAGGAGATGCTACGTGAGCGGACAGATCTATTAACCAATCTTCAAGCCCATTTAATACAAATGCAGTAGCGTATGCGGTCCCAGGCTAACCAGCACCGCCGAGAGGTGTCATTCGCGGTCGGGGATTTGGTGCTTCTCAAGCTTCGACCGTACCGCCAACACTCTGTGGCCCGTCCTCTTTCCGCCAAGCTTGCCCGCCGCTATTATGGTCCGTTTGAAGTATTGGAACGGGTGGGGGCTGTGGCATATTGTTTGCATCTCCCGGACGGATGCCGTATTCATGATGTTTTTCACGTTTCTCTATTGAAACCGTTTGTGGGCAGGCCCGGTGATACACCGCGGGTGTCCCTTCCAGAACACTTCTTTAAGGGTCGCCCTATCGCCACTCCAGTAGTGGTTGTGGCTCGGCGGATGGTGATTGTCGACGGGATTTCTCAAGAACAATGGTTGGTGAAATGGTTGGATGGGTGTGACGATGACACGACGTGGGAGTCGATGGAAGAGTTGGTGCGCCACTTTCCCAACCTTCCCCTTGAGGACAAAGACGTCCTTAACGGGGGGAGTTGATACGGGCACGACGGGTACCGTAGGATGTAGCCTAGAGGGGTCGAGCCGTCCCCGAAGGCAGGTGCGAGCGCCTCATCGCTACGACGAATATGTTTAAAGCATTCGTTTATGTTTTATTTATGTAACGTGGATTTTACTAGGAGAGCGGTATATAAGCTCCTTTTAGAATTTTCTCTTCGGTTGTTTCCTTTGAGCTTTTTTTGAATAGATAAGTTAATCTTGGAGGAAGTTCATCTTATAAATAAGGGGCATGTATCTGGGCAAGCAATAATACACCACCTCTCCCCTCCCTCAATATTTTCTCTCTCTTCAAACCCTAATTTCCTCCCCACGTTTTGGCCGCTGAACTCTTACTAGACGTGAAGTCCCCTTCTCCGGCAGTGAAATCATTCCAGCCGTCCGTCAACAAGGTATTATTGCTGTTTTGTTTTTGTTTTGCCCGTCTTGTTCAACCACAGATCTATACGGTACGAAATCTATCTCAACTGTTTGACACAATCTGGAGTTTGTGATTTGTCTAGTCGCTGGTCAGAAAGCAAAAGTGTAATTGTGGTTTTATGAATGATCTTCAATTCGCTCAGTTTTGTTTCAACTCCATCTTCAGTCATTTGTTAGTTTTGTTTTTGCTTTGTTCGTGAGTTCAGTTCTCATATATTTCTACAGTGCGCAGAGCTTGAAGAACTGGGTTCAAGAAATGGGGTTTCTCTTTCTCTCATCTCAACACACCGTTTCATTTTTTTTGAAAAAAAAACACCAAAATGACTATTTCGCCCTCCATCCTTATTTGGTTACCCCACCCACCCATTTCTTCGTTTCCCAGACGCCTTGTCCATCTTCTTCCTCTCTCATGTTTTCTTTTTCTTCCTCCTCTGCTATCTTCTTCTTCCTCTTCCTCTATTGTCTTCTTCCTTCTCCGGCACCGATCTCTTCCTTTGATGCCAAGACATCATGCCTGTCTTACATCCCTAACCTCTTTTGGCTCTATGGCAAATCTTAGCTCATCAGTTGCCTAGCAGGAGGAGGATTATTGGAAAGTCAACACAAATTTTAACTTCTCTTAACATTTGTGCCAAGTCAAATCGGGTAAGAAATTGTTGGACAGAGGGAGTATTAGTTTAAACATATACTCTAGGGTATGTAACAAGTTACTCCGCACAACTTACAAGTATTCTAGCTCAATTCATTGAGATCTTAACATATGAACATTAACAAAGGTCTAGGCAAATCTTATTTCTACATTGATTAATTTTGAATTTTGAATGTCTTGTGACAAAAAAATCTTAAATTCAAACGATTTCATTTCATGCATATCTTCACCGATTAATTTCTCCAAGAATTTCTAAAAGACAAGTTGTTGTAGTGGATTTATTTGTTTTTATTCAAAGTCACATGGAAAAACTAACTTGTATGGGTGTATATTATCCAGGAAGGAACATGTCATAATTTATGGTGGTCTGTGATTTGAGTGGGCTGAATTCAGTGCTTGGAAAAATTATATTTAACCCTGGTATGGTTTTATGGTTTTTCCGATTAGCATAGCTCTTAATCTATTTGGTGCTTTCCATTTATTTTTTGGTGCCTACTTTATATTCAATGATGTAACAATGCTTTTCATTTATTTTTTTATTTTGATTTGAGAACCAGGTCATATTCGGTCCTATCTCGGGCCGGTCTGGGTATTACTGGTGTAGTCTCTGTGGTCCATCAATAAGCCTTAAGCCCTTATTTGGTCCTGGTCTGCTTGGTCTGGTCGATCTAGTCTGGAGTTGGATTGATGCACAACCCTATTTTTATGTTGGTTAGTATACTTCCCATGGCTTATTATTATTATTATTATTATTAGTATTATGAGTTGCTTTGGACATCTTGTTTAGCTTAAGGGCTGGTTAAATTGATTTTGTGTTATTTCTGGTGCTATGCAAGTCATTTGAACTGATCAGTTTCAAGCCAATAATTTTTTCCAAACTTGTTATAGCTAGTTTAATGCGAAGTAACAAAACCATAGTAGCTTCAATCTCCATTTTTCTTCACTTGGGTTCAACTTTAGATTATTCTTGTTCAGCTATTAAGAATAGATTGGTTTTGCTATTTCTATTGTACTCCCCCTGTCCTAGAAAAAGGTTCAACATTATTGTTCCCATGGTCAAATTGTATTTTCTTTCATCACATATTTTCTTTGATCATTTGACAAAATAAGATAGTCATGACACCTCTTATTTTATTGAACATTTGATATAGCTTTTAAAAATGTAATTTTTATTATTAATTTTTTGCTAATTATCATATAAATTGAATTGGAAATAATTTCAGTCAAACATTACAAACCGAAATTGGAATCTTTTTATGGGACAAAACGAGTAAATATATAATAGTCTATCTGTCCCATGATTTTTTTCCCTCTTTTTTTCAATAACAAATTATGTGGTTCACCTATTTATTCTCTTATAAATAAATTTCAATCACAAATTTTACATTATTACAATGTGATTTAAATCAAATTAAGAACTTAATTTTGGAATGGAGGGGAGAAATATTAGCACCATAAATGATGTTATGGAACAATTTGATCCTAATATGTTTTGAGAATTACATTGAACACTCGAACTACATACATTCCAAGAGCACTCTGTCTTTCCACTTGTTTTAATAATTGTGCTTGACTAAATTACAAATTCTCATTTGCATTGAAAGAGTATATGTTGCTCTAACTAAACATCGATCATATGTTGTTAAGCTAAAAATTTTAATTTCTTCTTTGTTATTTAAAGTTTTGGTTTTTCATAATTATTTAGCTATTGATTCTACATGCTCTGGCCAAATCAATACAATATGCTCTTGGCTTCTTCATATTCGAATGAAAAACAATATAAACTCCGTAATAAGCTAGTGACTACGAAGGCTTCTCATAAGTTTAGGGACTAAATTTCCATTTTGATACCAAATCAAGAGCTACTTGCTTTTCTATTCATGATATATCATATTTTGAAACACAATTTAATCTCCAAATATTTTTTTATATGTATCAGAGAAACCTGTTGATTGATGACACATGGAATTCAATGAAATATCTTTGACTATTTTTTACGTAATGTGATACTCTTGAAGTTAAGTGAAAGAGGACATTAATGTTTAAAGTGTGCATTATCTAGCAAATCGATTCTATTAGAGAAGTTTGTTAAATATAGTAGTTTTTTTGTTAATTTTAAATATTGTATTTATTTTAAATGGTCGTGGTCTTGCGTGTTTTTAAGAAATGCATGTTTTATGCTTGTAATCCATCTTAGTTTATTTGAGGTGTGCATGTCCAATCTGAACAAATAGTCTAACTTTTTTGTAAAATAGATGTCTTGCATGTCGCGTGCCGTCTCATTTAATTCATCTAATGATTTAAAAACCTACTGTAAATATTTTCTTATGTATGCGGAGATGTTCAAAGCTTTGCAGCTCATTATTTAGAAGATGAGGCACGTTTATCTGATTACGGCATATTCAATGCGTTATTACTAGTGAATAAGGTTAAACACATTTCTCTTTTTAACCTATGTTAGGGTGAATTAAGAGGGATTATACTTATGGGTCAATTTTTTTTGCTTTTTCACTTAAATACTTCATATTGCGCCATTCATTTAGATATAATAAGGAGAGTCTTTTATAGTGCAAATGAAAGTCAGTCAAAATAATTTCAATTATTCAAGAGAAGATGATGTTATGTGATGCCACACTTTGTGAGTTTATGCAGGAATTAACTTTAGAGATTGTCGATGCGGCATTGTGGTATGTTTATGTGCTGATAATAGAGGCCCTAAGGCTTAGTCAATTAAATAGAGTTATCCTTGCTGCATTAGCATTGGTGGATGCACATTGGAAAGTTTGATAATCACATTTTTTGAATTGTCACTACCAAAAATCAATATGAACAAGATGCAAGACTGTTACATTTAACAAATAAAGACATAATTATAGTTGATTCAATCATAGAATTTTATTTATTATTCAATAAATTTTATCATATTATTACTTAACATGTGTTTTACTTCACGTGTTTAATATTTAAGAATATTTAGTCAACTTGTTTGAGAATAATACTTTTCATCATATCTAGTAATAAAGTACATTTTGAAATAATATATTAAATATGAAAATTTAATTTTTATATTAATTAGCATCTTCTTAGTATGAATATAAAACACTTGGGAAAGGAGTGATGGTTATTGAAAGGATGGGTGTGAAAGTATATGTTTGTATACGGTATCAAAGAGCATGCAATATCATTGATGTTTAAAAAGGATAAAAGATCAATCACTATATTTATTTATTGATGTTCAAAGATAGAAATAAAATTTGTGATTGCTCTAAACAATAGTAATTATTAAAATTTATTTTTTATATTTATATATAATAAACAAAAGTATTTTATTATTATTATTATATGGTAAGTTGACATAATAATCTTACAAATAGTAGCTCACTTTTTTATGTAATGCCATTGTCACTTTACAAATTTTTTGCTTAATTATAATAGATACATTGCAGCTACTTTATTGAAGTAGACAAGAAACGTCATTATTATAATAACCTACAAGAAGCCCCTTATATGAATAAAAACATAACTTTTGAAATTTTCTTTGATTTAATTGTTGATAGTTCTATAGTTCATATCTTATATGTTTGGAAAAATCTAGTTTAATCTTGTAAGACTTGAACATAAAATTGTTGTTTCCAATGCATCTACATGTGTGCAATGTCATCGCCATTGAAAGTTTATGTGCAATGTCATCTACAGAAACATTTATGTTGACGCCTCATGTTTTATTAGGGTTGTTTCATCATTATATCGAGTCAATTTGTTGTCAAATCTGCTTTGAAGACAATATGTGCCAAATTTTTAACTTTTTTATTTCAAAATAAGCATATTATTTAGGCCAAATTTGTGACATAATTCTTAATTTGGCTTTTTTATATTTTATAAACAATGGCTTGTTATATATTGCCATGCTTCCTAGAGCTAAACATCAATTTTATACGCGGAGTCCCTCACTAAAATTATTCAGTTTGAATGAAAGAAACTAATGTACATGGCTAGCTATTTATGGTAAAAATAGTTTCTCTCTTTACATGTTAAACTTTAATTCAGCAGCTCAGGCTCAGTGTATGAATATGGTACACCTAGCCTTGTAGAAGAGCCTTCTGAGGGACCTGAGATTGAGTTTGAATTGAGCCAACGTTAAACATGTAACGAGAGGCAAATAATTTTCATCATAATTTAGGTAGTTAGGTATATCAGTTTCTTTCATTTAAACAAGATAGTTGTTAAATGAGTGACTCAATGCAATGAATAGTGATCTTGTGCTCGAGTATACATTGTAATATATGAAGAGGCATTGTTCATTGATTATAAAAAATAGTCAAATCAAGGGTAATACCTCTCAAATTTGACCCAAATATTATACCTATTTTGAAATGAATAAAAAAGTTAAGGATTTAAATACAAGTCTTCAAAGCAGATTTGACCACAAATGTACTTGAGATAATGATACAACAATATTAGGCGTCGACATAAATATTTCTGTATTTATATTTATAGATCCTGTAAATTTTCTATAGCTTGAGGATGACGTGTCACACATGTAGATGCATGAGAAACAACAATATTATGTCTAGGTGCTACAAAATTAGATTACATTTGTCCAAATTTATAAGTCATTGATTATAGAACTATGAACAATTATCTCATCATATTCATATAAGGAGCCTTTTGTTGAATATTATAGTATTAACATTTCTTGTCCATCTTCAATGAATTAGTTGTGATATAGCTTCACATGCATTGTTGATCTATTATAATTAATCAAAGAATTGTAAATTGACAGTAACAATACAAGGTAAACTGCTATTTGTGAGATTATTATGTTAATTTCTTATATAGTAATAATAAAATAATTTTATTAATTGTATATAAATATAAAAATAAGATTTTAATAATTATCTAATGTTTAAAGCCAATCACTTATCTTATTTCTATTTTTCCTTCGCATGCATGCTAGTGACTGTTTTTTTAAACATAAATAATACTTCATGTTCTTTGATGTCGTAGCTCGTATACAAACATGCAGGTACTTTCTCACCCCTCTCTTTAATAACCCATTTTTTTCCTTATTGATTTTTCATTCATGCTACAATACTTCATTAGTAGATGATAACTAATATTAAAATTAAATTTTAATGATATATTTAATAAAAACATATTTTATTACCAAAAATGATGAAAACTATCATCATCATCAAACAAATTGACTGAATATCCTTGAAAATTAAACACATAAATTAATAGAATTGTGAAGTTATTATATGATAAAGCTTAAATTGTGTAATAAAAATATTATTTGACTGATTCAACTATAGTAGTCTATATTTGTTCCACGTAACAACCTTAGATCTTGTTCATGCTGATTTAGTTATCAATGCTTTTTCACTGTGCAAGCACCAATATTAATGCACTAAAGATGACTGTATTTAATTGATTAACTCTCAGAGCCTCGATTCCCAGCGCGTAAGCATACCACAATGCCACTTGTGGCAACTTCTAAAGTCAATTTTTGCATGAACTGATTAAGTGTTATATAACGCAACACCATTTCTCTTGTGACATTGAAATTATTGACACCTTTTTTTCTTCTACTAAAAAAGCTCTCATTATCAATGGTGTAATTTGAACAGCCAAGTAGGAAGGCCAAAAGTTGAGCGTTAGGTAATAAACTCTTATTTCTCCCTCACATACGTTGAAAAAAGAAACTTGTTTAACCTTGCTCGCTAGTATGGATGCACCGGATATGCCGTAGTCTCATAAATGAGCCTCATTTTCACATAATCAGTTGGAAAGCTTTGAATATCTTTGCATACATAAAATGAAATAGTTAAAGTTTGTTCTAAATTATTAAATGAATTAAATGGACGAATATGAAACATTCATATTAGGCATGCTCACTTCGAATTAACTAGGTTTGAGTATAAGCCTAAAACATGCCTTTTCAATGAAACTGGCAGGCCAATGCTCATTTTGATTAGATACAGTATTTAAAATAAATGAAAAAGCTATTATACTCCCTTTGTCCTTAATTGGGTGCCCATGTTACTATTACTTCTCGATAACTTTTGTTTGTATGTTTTCATTAATTATTTGATACTTTAAAATATTTTTGTCTCCTATTGTTTTGTAGCATGTTTTATGTACTTTTGAATAGTCTAATTTATACATTTTCTTTTTATACTAATTTGTAATTAAAATGATTTGCTAAAAGAATCGATTTGCTAAAAGAGTGGCATCCATTGTGGGATAGTGAGAGTATTTAAGTAACGTTTCTAAAAGAATCGATTTGCTAAGTGTAGAATACACGCTATAAACAATAATAATGCCCACTCTCACGTTAATTTAGGAGAATAACATTGCGTAAAAGATGATCCAAGAAATTCCATGCATCATTAATCAACAAGTTTCTTTAATACATAAAAAACATTTGGAGATAAAGACTGTGGATTGAAATATGATATATTATGGATGGAATGACAAGCAGATCTTGATTCAGTATCAAGGTGAAAATATAGTTCCTAAAGCTTATATGGTTTTTCATCCGAATATGAAAAAGCTAAGAGTATATTGTATTGATTTAGCCTTGAACAAGAATTCAATAGCTAGATGATCATAAAAGACCAACATTTTAAATAACGAAGTTGAAAGTAAAAACTTGCAGCTTAACAACAACAGTGTCTATATCTATATACAACAATATATACTCTAGTGCTGATATGAGTTTGTAACTTTTAAAGCACTATTATTAAAATAAGTCGAAAGATGTGGTGCTCTGGGAATTAATGTAGTTGGAGTGATCAATGCAATTCTAAGGATGAATTAATTAATTGGTTTCTTAACCTCAGGAGCAACTTTCACACATGAATTTAAAACTATTTTGACTTGATTGTTGGGAACCTAAATCTTATGGGTGTCTTTTTCTAAAGACTTGCTCCTTGAATTTTCTGCATTGCCTCTTAATGTGTCTCTTTTTTTAATCACAGCAAAAACAATCATAATTTACATTGAAGTTCCAACGTGTCTACCTCACCTGCTTAGGCATTGGTCTTCTATCATTTTTGTTCCTTACTTCTATCTTTTTACTTCCCGTAGATGGGGCACGAGATGCTGCAACACGGCGGACGTGTTCAAAATCTTTCCCATGAATTTTTCTGCCTTGAATAGTTTTCCTTTTTTTGTCAAAGAACATGTCAAGAGTTGTCATGATTATCTTGACCAGCAAAGCCAATTCTGTTTCGAACTTTATCAAATTATGATACTTTGTCTTGCTTTTCAATGACTTCAGCTTCGGCACTCTTCACCCACTAAGATAATCCCTGAGTTGTTTGAGTCCGTATCTCATGTCGGATTGTTGTTCAACCAATTCTTCAAGTTTTGAGCACCTCCTTGAGTTGATCTGTTCAGCTGTAAGTTGTTTCTCCATAACATTTTTCTAATTGACTTGATGAAGCTTTTCCCACATCTCTGGGAGAATAGCTAGCCTTTCTACTGTGTCATCCTTTGTGTCATCCTCTAAGTCACTTCAAACTTATACTTGTTTAGCTCCTTTGTGGCTTTTCCTACAGTTCTTTTTGACTCATCCACACATTATTGTATTTGTGCAAGTTCACAATTGAGAGTTGCATTCTTGTCTTTGATATTGTTAATTTCTATCTCGAGACTTTGTTTCTCCAAGGTAATCTTCTTGTTGGCCCGTAGGGACTCTTGTCATTTTGCTTCAATGATATCAAGCTTTTCCTTGAGATGAATATCATCACCGGAGACCTCTTCATCATTATTCATTATAGAGGGATGAGAAAGCAGAGGTTGATTTAGTGTTCTCTTCGTCATCTATTTCCATCTGTGGCACTTACCTCTTCCTTTGTTGAGTTTTACTCTTCCTTTGAATCCATTTTCTCTCTAGATCCTTTGTAACCATATGCAATTGTTCTTGAATTTCATCATCCACATCAAGATAATCTAACTCAGTTGAATGATCATGTTTTTCAACATGGATGAGACGTGGCTTTTTACTTGTGTTTTGATTCATCTCCAACTCAATTGTTTCTACGTTTCCATAAGCTCATTCTTGTGATTGTCTGATTGCTTTATCATATATAGAGATTTTTTTGAAGAGAATGTAGATGTTTCAACGCAAATGGTTACCAAGTCTTTCAACTTCATTTGCCAATTCTCTGACTTGCCCATGAAAATTTATGGACTGATACAGGCGTGGGAACTCTTAAAGGAACAACAGAGCTCCAAGGCTCTGTAAAGAACAAGAGAGAAGAGACTGTTGAAGAGAGAGAGAAAGAGGTGATTGAGAGAAAATATCTCAAAATGTATTCTGATTATCATATCAAAGGAATTCCAGTCTTACATAGGCACCCCTTACACACACGGTAGAAACCAACTCATTCACTTACAATAAGTAAAAGAACATGGGGTAAAAATAGAATAAGGAAAAACAGTAATTGACCACCAAAGCGCGCATCATTCCTTCCCCCTTAGCTAAAGCTTTGTCCTCAAAGCTGGATGTTGGAACCTTCTTCATGGAATCAACAGACCACTCCCTTGTTTCTTCATATGGAATTTCTTGCCAACTCACTAGAACGGCACCCCTTCTGTGTTTGCTCTTTTCGGAAATCTTCTTATTAGCTTTAGGCTGAGAGTGAGTCTTAAATTTGGGTGGAAGATGAAGCTTGTAGACCACCTTTCCCACTTTAGAAATGACCTGAAAAGGGACCAAAAGACAAGCCCCATCTTTTACTGGACTTAAGTGACTGGCTAACAGCTGCATTTGGCTTTGTGCCGTTTGTAAATGCCATTTCAATTAGTTAAACATAGCTATATCCTCCCCCTACTCTAAGGACCTGTCCACTATCTTCACATTAGTTTCTCCTGACAAGCAAGGCTTTGGATCATAGTTACAGAATTCGCTTACCTAGCCGCGATTTCCGAATTGGTACGAATCGTACCGGATTGCAAGTCGCCGGCGAACCGATCGCCACCGGTACGGCGATCCAAATCGGTGTGGTGCGGCGCTCCAATTCGCAATTCGCCGGCGATCCAGATGCCCTAGAACGTCGCACCAAGTCGGATAATACGGAGTACCAATCGCCGGCGGTCCAGCGATCCAAATCGCAATTTCCTCTCTCCCGCGACCTTCCCTCTTGCGATTGTTTTCTCCGTAAATTGAAAAGGTCAATTCACGATTGCACTTCCCCAAGTTCCGTGCGAGTCGTTCATAGTCTCCGTGCCTTTCTCGATTGTTCTCTGACTTCTCCCTTTAATGTTTCGTTTTTACCTAGACACTCTCCAAATATATACTCCGGGTATATATATGTCTCTCAAGTCTAACCAGTAACCACGACCCAATCTAAAGTCCTCAATATCCAGTAATTTTTTCTCTCNCTTTTGGCAAAAATTATAAAGCCCATAATTCTCAAGATGATAGTAACAGTGAGTCCCAGATTAGCAACACCCAAAATTATATTGATGTTGATGAAGAAGTTGTAGGCTTGTTTTTCAATTGGATTTTGTAATGTTATGCACTTATGCTCATCTTATCTATTTTTGTTTACTTATGTTTTGACTTTTGGTACACCGAACCGAATACATGGTACACCGTACCGCTTCGTACCACTTCGTACCGAAATGAACCTACCCCCCTTCGTACCGAATTCGTTACATCAAGCGAATTTCGTACCCGTACCGCGTACCCGTACCGAAGCGTACCGCGATTTATGTGACTATGCTTTGGATTGTGGAAGCACATCCCCCTGAGGTAGGTTTCCAAACGCTTGTTGATCCATTCAGTTTGTCTAAGTTGCTTCCATTGCACCCTCTTTGGAAAGAACTTGGGAAGGTCCGAGATACCTGGATCCCCAATTCTCTTAACCCCAATTCTCTTAACTTGCATGAGCATCTGTTCCTAGTTTCTTCCAAATAGCTCAAAGTTGAGGATGGTTATTGGAATCACCTGAGATTTTGGCAGTCCCACTATGAAGCCCCTAAAAACCTCTCTCCAATTCCACACCTTAGTAGTGATCTGTGATGGCTGGAGTTGCTGATTGTTTTCTGCAGTTTAGGGCCAAGAAACCAACTTTGTTTGATATTATCCAACAGAGAAGAGCTCCTCCTCAGCTGATCTTGCCCCTCTTCATGTCCTTGTTTGTGGTGAATCCCATAAATATAACTCATTAGATTGGATAACCAAAACTGTAGGCAAGGCATTGTCGCTTTGCCTTTTAAACGCCATATGGAGCTCTTTTGATCCGTTTGGATGATAATTGATTGGTGGATTGGGAGAAGGCCATTTGCAGCTTTTTCTCAGAAGTAACTGTTGGCCACCCCATTATAGTTTCCATCTTGGTGATCACCTCATGAATTGCAAGGTAACATTGAGCTACTTCCACAGCAGTATAAGGGTGATTCAGTTTCATGAAATGAGTACACCACCGCCCAGCAAGTACCATTGCTAAAGTCAATAATTCCTTCTCATTGGTGGGGTTTTGCCATCCCTTTACAGCTCCTATCTTGCTAGAGTCAGTAAGTACCTCCAACAGCCCTTGAACTATAGGAAGTGACACTTGTGGTACTGTAACTTTACTCATTTCCCTTAGAACTTGACTACTGCCTCTGTCTATAAACTCCATTCTCATCTTACTACATTCCCATTTTACTGGCCCGGCATTTAGGATGTGTACTGGCAGCTGCCCATAACATCCTGCAACTTTTGTTGTTTGCAGCAGATCATCATGTACCACTCGTACTAACTCTTTCTCTTTGGTGGGGACTGGCCACTCCCTTACAGTTTCTACGTCGCTAAGCACTTCATTTAATCCATTTAGTTGTGAATGATAGGAGAAAGTCCTTTGCAAGTCAACCCCGTGAATTGCGAGGTAATATTGGGCCGCCTCTACCGCAGTATAAGGGTGAGTTAGAGCGATATAATGAGTGTACCCATTCATCCTATCTACAATTTCTACTATTAGTATCCTCGCCCTTTGCTTTGGTAGCTTCCCCACTAACACCACTAGAGAGTCATTAGGGTTGCAGCTATTTTGCACTACACTAACATATAACATCATAGTCGATTGTTCAATCTTTTCCCTTTTCTTGATTGGGTACTTGTAAGGTGAAGCATCTATTTGTGGACTACCTTGGTCAACCCTCCATGAGGAAGTAACCTCCAGTTGGCAGTCTGAACCGGGGTGCAACAATTCTTCCTTTGATTCAGTGGAAGCATTTACTAAAATGGAAGGGTTGTCCCTCTCCAATTGATAACCTAAATCAGAGTGTATTAGCTTTTCCTCTAAGTCAGTATCTCTAGCTTCCTCCACTACAAATAGTTGATTCACCCTCTCAATACTCATGTGTTCCCTCTCAAAGGGTTTCTCAAAATAATAGTGTAATCCCTTTGTATTTGGCATAGACTTGGGCTGACTTACTGCAAGTACAGTCTTGATAGCATCCACAGTACGGGTAGGTGGCAAGGCTTGATAAGTATTAAACACTAGCTTAGGAATCCTTCCTTTTCCTTTAATAACATGCTCAGTTTCTTCCTGATTCCAAAGAATCCCCTCACATTTAGTGGTTTGTGATAAGAGCTCAGGCTTGGAGGTCATTACAATTGCCTTTATATGTGGTTTAAGTCCTCCTATGAAGTTGTACAAAGTGTGATTCCCTGGTAGCAGTGGATTCTTCAACCTCTTACAAGCCTTTAGTTCTTCAGATCTGTCACCATTATCCTCCAGACTCCTTATTTGAGGAACAAGGATAAAAGGTAGAAGTAAGAACTTCTCCTGGGAGTTCTAGAGACTATATTATATTATGGCTATCTTGGAGTATTTTCAGGATCTTTTGGGGAAGGCCAACTGACTGAAAATATCAATAAGCAAGCTATTGATGTGGCAAAAAACTAACTGTGGAGCAGTAACTCAACCTGGTTATTAAGGCAGTTCTGGACTTCATCCAAACTGGTGAAACACTGAATAAGATTGATGTAACTGTTTTAACTGTTATTCCTAAAGTGGTAGGCCCTAAGAGCTCTATTAAATTTCGGCCTATAGTTATAGTAATGTTATCTACAAGGTGATACCCAAAATTCTGTGTTGTAAACTCAAAAAGGTACTTCATTCTAAACCTCAACCAGTATAATGTTCTACTTTGCCAAGAAATGGCTAGAGGTTACAAAAGGAAAGGGATTAGCCCCAGATGCATGATGAACCTAGATTTAAAGAGAGCATATGATTCTGTTGGCGGGCATTGGAAGAAATCATGTTTGAGCTGAAATTCCCAACTTAATTTCTAGATTGGGTCAGGTCCTGTGTTACCAGTCCCTCCTATTCTATTCAATTGGATGGAGAAGCTTTTGGAGGAATTGATTCAAAGACAAATAAGGCTGCTTGAGAAAACCGGTATGCAAAAAGGGGATTTCCCTTTTAGATACTTGGAGGGACATTTCTCGAACTGGGTGTAAAAAATGCAACATATTGGTTGGAAATGTGACTTCAAAATATCTTCTTGATCTACTAAACATCTTTCACTATTCTCTTTGGTATAATTGAGTTTTGGAGTAAGTTGTTTGTCTCACCCTCTAAAGCTATGAAAAAAAAATCTAAAGCATATGCCAAAGTCTCAAGGAGTTTTAGGGGTGAGAAATTTGATATTGTGGAATAGGGCTTCAGCTATGAGACTTCTACGAAATGTTGTGAATAAGAAAGACTTTGTGGGTCAAATGATACATAGTATCTTAAAAAGACAACAACTTTGGAAGAGCAGTCATAATGCCTGCTATTATAGGAAAAAGCTGCTCCAAAGTAGAAAGTTCTTTACCATTATGCCTTTTGGAGTTGTTTATGATATTCAAGAGGGCTAACAAGGGATACTCTTCCACCCCCAACCCCCCCCCCCCCAAATGGATTTCTCTAGTGTGGAACAACATTACTATATGGTTAATCATCATTTCATTACTTGGTTGTTGTGCAAAGATAGACTGCTTACTAAGTATAAATTTAGTAAATATATGGTTGTTGATTTGGAGCGTACTTGATCTGGAGGACATAATGAGGCCATTCAACATCTCTTTTTACTTGCCCCTATGCAGTAGAGTTATACAAAGATTTATCTATATGGATAGGGCAAGATTTATCTATATGGATAGGAATATCAAACCGAGGAGGAGATATATTTGGGGATGGTCTTGTAGTTGCGTGCTATGGTTGTATGCTATTTCTCAAACCCTTTCAGTGGTTGTATGGTATTGTAGCTGCTGATTAATTCATCTAATGATTTAGATACCACTTTAACTATTTCTTTTCATGTATGCAAAGATGTTCAAAATTTTCTTGCTCATTATTGTGAAGAAAAGACTCATTTATTAGATTACGGCATATTCGATGCGTCAATACTAGTGAGCAAGATTAAACAAGTTTTTTTTCAACTTATGTAAGGGTTAAATAAGAGGATTATACTTAAGACTCATTTTTTTTATTTTCCATTTGGCTGTTCAAATTGGGCCATTAATTTGGATATAATGAAGAGAGGCTTTTATAATGTAAATGAAAATGTGAGTCAAAATGATTTTAATATTGCAAGAGAAGATAGTTTATGCAGTAATTAACATAAGATAATGCCGCAAGTGGCATTGTGGTATTGATAAGTCCATTTCGTTCTTATCATTTACATCATATCCTAAACGTTATTGCACGTAAATAGTATTTAATCATCTCGTAAAATGTGATTTTAATGGATAAAACTCTCATTTTCGTTCTAAGAGTCATAAAATGGGATTCCACATGAAATCATCATAAATCATCCATTTTTGTTCAAGTATTTGAGAAAAGAGGAACAAATCATCAAAGGATCAAGATTCGGGCTTGAACGAGCTTCCGGGAGGACAAAAACAGTGTTCGGGGCAAAAACGGAGCGAAATTAGGCCAAAATCACGAACCAGCCGCGTAGCCCAACGGACCAAGGCCTCCAGGCTTCCAACTTAGACGCTTGGCCAAGTCGGACGCTTGGAGTTGGACGCTTGAGCTAGATTGCAATCCAAGAAAGACACGTGGCAATATCTGGTTGGCCAGAGCAGCTCAAGCGTCCCGATCTGGACGCCTGGACTTGGACGCTTTGACTTGGACGCCTTGGATCCATTCCTATAAATACAGCTCGATCCCTCTCATTTTTATCATCCCATTCCATCCCAACTTCGGGATTTACACATCCCTTCTCCACTTTAGCTTGTATATTAGTTGTAGTAGTTAGTTTTGAAGTATTTTCGGAGGTTTCAACTCCAGATCAGCTCTGTTCCGTTTTTATGAAGGTTGTAAGTTTCCTTTATTTAATAAAATGCTATTTTAATTTATGTTTGCGTAGTATGAGTTAGGGTCTGGATCTCTGGGTCCGGACTAGTTTGGTTGTTTATTTTTTTATGTTAAATTAATGTTGGAATGGTTAACCTATTTTTCTTGCCTTATTTAGTTAATTATTATCGAAAGATTTAATTGGCTATTTATTGAGAAAATATTGTATGCCAAAAGGCTATGATATTCAAGTACAACGGATTAAGTACAAATCTAGAAATGGATGAGTAGTAATAGAAATATTATTATTCCAATTGCTTATTTAATATGATAAAATAAATCCAAATGATGTCCAGACCCTAGGTCCAGATCTATACTTATACTATGTAAATTTAATTTATTTATTATTTTTACTCTGCCTTTTCTATAATCGTTTCGAGAAGACTTTCATAAACCAATCCTAATCTTCGCCTAATTAGAGTAATTAAACTAATTCCCTTCGTCCACTCCTCGAGAGATACGACACTCGGGAAGAAAACTAACCCTTTACTGGGAAGGTTTACTACCCGAAAAACTACAACTGTCAAATGGCGCCGTTGCCGGGGAGTGGCACGGCATTAGTTTAATTTCTTCTGATTAGCTTGGGTGAAGATTGGTTAGAACGATCTTCTCACTTCCTTTCACCAACCACCCGTAATAATTATTATGGATAACCTTAGTGGTTATTACGGTCCGCCTTCTTTCTACCAATCACCGAACCGCCCTCCGTTTCAAACCCATCAACCTTATCACCCACATCAGTACTCATATGGTGATGACTACCAAGTCAACAATGGGTCTGACTACTATCCCTACCATGAGGAACCCCCATATGATACCTCGTCTAGAAACTTTGGGTATTCTCCTTGCCAAGATTCTGATGGGGATAATTATTATGAACCTCATGGTGATCACGATGACTATGACCAATATGGGCCTATGTACGGCTATCAACCTGATCCACTCGTCGAAGAAATAATAAGATTAGAGCAGAAAATCTTCTATTTCGACGAAGTTTTATTTGCTGAAGGCTCCTGGTATGAACCACCCTACTCCCGTGACTATACCCTGTTTGCCGAAGAACGAATTGAAGCAAACAAGGTGGCAATTCGAGAAAGAGCAAAACTTCTTGAATCAGTCCGGAAGGAAAAGGAGTTCGAGAGGAGATTATGCGAAGGATCAGAGATGATGCAGAAAATGCTGGACAACTTTCAAAGAGAAAGACTAGAAGCTGAGTCTAAAGCCGATAAATTAGTCAATGATCTCTGCAAGGCTGTTGAACTTAAACGCTCCCTCCAATCTCAAGATCAAATGAGGGAGATTAATGTTCAAAAAGAGGCTCTAGAACCTAAGACCAACCCTAAACCCATCAACCAAGAGGTTCCAGTTCTAGAAGATTCACCAAGTTCTACACCATCACAGAAACCCGAGAGCATAACAACTCTTGCTAGGGCTACTGTGGTGATGTTACCTGAATACCCTCCTAGCCAAGTCCTAACCAGCATAGTCGTACATGAGGTGGAACCAACTGAGGGACCTGACTCAGAACCACCTACGCTCGTTCAAGAAAAGAAAGAGGAGGAAGTTTTGCCTACGGCAATAAACGACCATCTCCTTAATTGTGTTGAAGACAAACCTCCAAAGGAACCTGTTTTGGAGGAGATAGAGCCCATTACCTGCCCCCAAGATTCCAATATCCAAGAGTCTGAGGAGGAATCTGTTGACGAGGAAATATTGTGCATGGAAAACCCAACTTTGTCTATAGAAACCTGTGCAAATAATGTTTCACCAGTATATTCAGACCAAACTTTATTTGACTCACATGACGGGTGTAACCCGGTTTGCCCGGAGGATAGTTGGAGCCAAAAGAGTTGGGATGAACTTCTAGTAAGTGACACTGAAGACTCATCCATGGGGGGAAGCACGGTCATAATCATCAAACCACAAATGGATGGTCAGCCTGTTGAAGATAAGAAAAAAATCAATCTCGCTATGAAGGCCAATGATGTGGATCCACTTAGGAGACTTCCGCCACCACCCACCTATCTAGAGTCTCCTCCTTTTATCCTGTTGCCGCCAAGCCGCAGGGATGAGTCAAGGATCCTGGACCTTGACCGAGCAACAAATCAAACAAGGTGGCACCAGAAGAGAGTCAGAAGGGCCAAACTTTATGACTCTCGGATCGGAAAGTCACGGAAAAAGTGGGTGAGCGTCGAGCTACGGACGTTAAAGAAGCGCTTAACGGGAGGCAACCCGTCATTCAAATAACAAAAATAATTAAATAAATTCAATAATTTTATTTGTTATTTTTGAGTTTCTACTTGCCGCACCAGTTTTGGGGGCAAGAGTTATTTTGTTTGTTGTCTTTGCTTTTGCAGATGAGAGAATTGTAGGGCATACCTTACAGTGGGAGCGAAGAAGATGTCTCACCTGGGGCTTTCACAAGGTTTCGGCAATCTTCGAGGCTTCTTGATCCAACAGTCCTGGTTGAAGTTGGCTACTGAGAGAATATTGACTTTATCAGTAAAGTCTCTTTTTCTCTACTATTTTGAACATGATTTGGATGCTTGATGATTTTTATTTTGGAATTTCACAACATGACTCTTAAAACCATTTTGAGAAAATTTTATGCATTATTTCATATTTTCATGTTATGGTCATGTATTATTTCAATCTTCATCTTTGAATTTTATGAGTATTGAGATAACTTAGTAATTGCATGTGAGCATTTCAACCATTAACTCCAATGCCAAAATACTTTTAGCCACGAGGGCGTGGTTCCGTTTAAGTGTGAGGAGGTAAGAGTTCGTGGTTGAAATGATCTTTTTAGGAATTGTTTTGTCTATATATTGTTAGGAAAAGATTTTTTATAGAATAGTCATCAATTTTAATGATTTGATTAATTAATCTTTAGTTATCACCCGTAAAAATTGGAAATTTTTAAAATTTTTATCAAACTTCTATTTTTACTCTAACCTTTTCAAGAATGTTTTCTAAAATGGCTTGGGATAAATTCACAATTTATTTAGAGTTTTTTTTAGATCAATTAATTTTTAAGTGTTTTATTGAAAATCTTTTTGCTGATGCTCTTTTGAGTATTTGTTGTTTCTTAAAAAGAGTTGTTTTCAAAGTATAAGGGGTGACGTTTCAAAGCATACTTTGGTGAGACCGAGATTCTTGTGTTAGCCAAAAAGCAGTTGGTTCTAGGTCAACTGATGAGGCGTGGTGAGTATGCCAAAAAGCACGTGGTTCTATATTGCGTGATGAGGCCTTTTGAGTGTTAGAGTCAAAAAGCATGCGGTTCTATGTCGTGTGATGAGACTTTCCAGAGTGAATATCCAAAAAGCTCGTGGTTCTATGTCACGAGATGAGGTTATAAATTTTTCTCGTGTCAACATGACAAAGTTATGCCAAAGAAAATTAAACCCTTACGCTTTGACAATTACTTTTGCAAGAACATGTTTTCCAATTTAGCCATTAAAAAAAAATTATTTGATCTTTAAAGTACTCTTACAAATGTAGTTATCCCAAAGAAAGTTTGGAAAATTTTGGTTGTTTAGGTTGGTGTAAAAATATTGGTTTGACAAAATTTTTTTACATTTCTAACAATATGGGTGAGAATCTAAGGGTTCATTTATTCTTAACAAAAAGGTTGATGACTATCTTATTCCTTCTTTCCTTTATAATATGTAGCTTAAACTTTGCCTCTGCAATTATTAATTTTCCTTTATACTTGTAATTATTCAATTTGTTACTTGAGGGCAAGCAACGTTTAAGTGTGAGGAATTTGATAAGTCCATTTCGTTCTTATCATTTACATCATATCCTAAACGTTATTGCATGTAAATAGTATTTAATCATCTCGTAAAATGTGATTTTAATGGATAAAACTCTCATTTTCGTTCTAAGAGTCATAAAATGGGATTCCACATGAAATCATCATAAATCATCCATTTTTGTTCAAGTATTAGAGAAAAGAGGAACAAATCATCAAAGGATCAAGATTCGGGCTTGAACGAGCTTCCGGGAGGACAAAAACAGTGTTCGGGGCAAAACCGGAGCGAAATTGGGCCAAAATCACGAACCAGCCGCGAAGCCCAACGGACCAAGGCCTTCAGGCGTCCAACTTGGACGCTTGGCCAAGTCAGACGCTTGGAGTTGGACGCTTGAGCTAGATTGCAATCCAAGAAAGACACGTGGCAATATTTGGTTGGCCGGAGCAGCTCAAGCGTCCCGATCTGGACGCCTGGACTTGGACGCTTTGACTTGGACGCCTTGGATCCATTCCTATAAATACAGCTCGATTCTTCTCATTTTTATCATCCCATTCCATCCCAACTTCGGGATTTACACATCCCTTCTTCACTTTAGCTTGTATATTAGTTGTAGTAGTTAGTTTTGAAGTATTTTCGGAGGTTTCAACTCCAGATCAGCTCTGTTCCGTTTTTACGAAGGTTGTAAGTTTCCTTTATTTAATAAAATGCTATTTTAATTTATGTTTGCGTAGTATGAGTTAGGGTCCGGATCTCTGGGTCCGGACTAGTTTGGTTGTTTATTTTTTTATGTTAAATTAATGTTGGAATGGTTAACCTATTGTTCTTGCCTTATTTAGTTAATTATTATCGAAAGATTTAATTGGCTATTTATTGAGAAAATATTGTATGCCAAAAGGCTATGATATTCAAGTACAACGGATTAAGTACAAATCTAGAAATGGATGAGTAGTAATAGAAATATTATTATTCCAATTGCTAATTTAATATGATAAAATAAATCCAAATGATGTCCAGACCCTAGGTCCAGATCTATACTTATACTATGTAAACTTAATTTATTTATTATTTTTACTCTGCCTTTTCTATAATCGTTTCGAGAAGACTTTCATAAACCAATCCTAATCTTCGCCTAATTAGAGTAATTAAACTAATTCCCTTCGTCCACTCCTCGAGAGATACGACACTCGGGAAGAAAACTAACCCTTTATTGTTTATAACTATATGTGTTGTTAATTGAGGCTCTTAGATTTATTTAATTAAATATATCTATATTTGGTGCATTAATATTGGTGTTTGCATAGTGAAAAAGTTTTGATAACCACAATTTTAATTGTCATGGTCAAAAATCAAATGGACAAGATCTAAATAGACATGATAATAGTTGATTGAATAAAAGAAAAATGTTTTTATTACTCAATTGGTATTCCAATAATTATTTCATATGTTTGTTAACTTATGTGTTTAAATTTCAAGGATGCTCCGTCAACTTGTTTGAGGATGATGGTTTTCATCATTTTTGGTAATAAACTAAATTTTCAATAATATTTTAAATATCAAATTTTATTTCTTATATTAATTACCATCTTCTATTACAGTGGTTGTAGCATAAAAGAAAAATCATGAGGGAAATGAGTGATGGTTATTGAAAGAAGGGGTGAAAAAGTACTAACATGTTTGTATACAAGGTACAGATTCAAAGAGCATGATCACCGATGTTTAAAAATGATAATAGATCGGTCACTAGCATGCAAAACAAAGAAGGATAGAAATAAAATGTGTGATTGGCTCTAAACATTAGGTAGTTATTAAAATCTTATTTGTTTATATTTATATACAATTAACAAAAGTTTATTATTTTATTATTATTATAATATAGTAAGTTAACATAATAATCTCTCACATAGAAGTTCACCTTCTATTGTGTGTTAATTGACAATAGCAATACAAGAAAACATGAATTGCTATTTGTGACATTATATTGTTAACTTTTTATATATTACTTCATAATAATTAAATATTTTTGTGAATTGTATATATATATATATATATATATATATATATATATATATATATATATATAAATAAGATTTTAATAATTACTTAATCTTTAGAGCCAATCATGCATTTTATTTCTATATTTCCTGCTAATGCATGCTACTGGCCGATCTGTTATTATTTTTAAACATCAACGATATTATATTCTCTTTGCTTCTGTATCCCGTATACAAACATGTTGGTACTTTCTCGCCCTCCCTTCAATAACCACTACTCTTTTCTCTACTGATTTTTCTTTAATGCTCCAACACTTAAATAGAATGTGATAATAAAAGAATTAAAATTTGATGATATATTTATTAAAAATTTAGTTTATTACAAAAAAAGATAAAATTATCATCCTCAAAGAAGTTGATTGAATATCCTTGAAAATTAAACACATGAATTAACTAACATGTAAAGTAATTATATTATAAAACTTATCCATTGATTAATAGAAAATTTCTTTGATTGAATCAACTGTAGTTTTTATTTGTTCCATGCAACAGACTTGGATCTTTTTCATGTTGATTTGTGGCGACAACAATATTAGCGCACTAAGGATAGCTATATTTAATTGAGTAACTCTCGGAGCCTCGATTATCAGCACGTAAGCACACCACAATGCCACTTGATGCAACCTCTATAGTTAATTTTTGCATTAACTCACAAAATGTTGTATCACGCAACACCATTGTCTATTATGACATTGAAATTATTTTGATTCACATTTTTCTTGTACTATAAAAGACCCACCTCATTATATCAAAATCAATGGTGCAATTTGAACTGCCAAGCAAAAAAACAAAAACTTGAGTGTTAGGTATTATCAATCTTATTTCACCTTTGCATAGGTTGAAAAAATAAACTTGTTCAACCTTGCTCGATAGTATTGATGCACTGAATATGACGTGACCTGATAAATGAGTCTCATCTTCACAATCATAAGATGGAAAACTTTGAACAGCTCGGCATACATAAAAAGAAATAGGTATAGTGGACTCTAAATTGTTAGATGAATTAAATGAGCGGACATACGGCATTAATTTCTACATTAATTTCTAAGATGAATTAAATTGTTAGACTTATTTCTACATTAATTTGTAATTAAAATGATTTTAAAAGTGATGGGATTTTGCACGTTGTTTTGAGAGTGGCATCCATTGTGGGACGAAGGGAGTATTTACCAACTTTTCTAATCGAATCAATTTGGTAGGTGTAGAATATACAATATAAAAAATAATGCTCACTCTCACATTAATTTGGACAAAGGTAGTCCAAGGAATTCCATGTATCATCAATCAACAAGTTTTTCTGATGCATACAAAAAATATATGAAGTTAAGATTGTGTTTCAAAATATTATATATTATGGATGGAATGACAAGTAGCTCTTGATTTGATATCAAAGTGAAAATATAGTCCCTAACCTCATTATAGACTTTATTTGAGGTTTCATCCAAATATAAAGAAGCCACGAGTATATTGTATTGATTTGGTGTGAACATGAAGAATTCAATAGCGTGATGATTATAAACGACCAAAATTTTAAACAACAAAAAAGAAAAAAGCAAAAACTTGTAGCTTAACAACAACGGTGTCTATAATTACATACAACAATATTCACTCTCTTAATGCCAATATGTATTTATAACTTTGTTAAGAACAATTATTAAAATAAGTGGAAAGATGAGGTGCTTTGGGAACTATTTATAACTTTGTTAAGAACAATTAATACATAACTTTGTTACATATTAAATTTATGCACTCCCTCTTAATGTGTCCCCCCTTTTTTCACAGCAAAACATACATAATTTGCATAGAAGTTCCAACGTGAGTACCTCACCTGTTTAGGCATGCGACCCTTTGGTGTTCTATCAATTTGATTCTTTACTTCTATCTTTTCACTCCCTGTAGGTGTGGCATGAGATGCTGCAACATGCATTGGACTTATTCAACATCTTGTCAACGAGCGGCTTATCTTGGTCAGCAAAGCCAATTCTGCTTCGATCTTTATCACATTATGACACTTTGTCTTGTTTTTTCAATGACTTCAGCTTCAGCACTCTTCACCCACTTAAGATACTCCCTGAGTTGTTTGAGTTCATATCTCATGTCGGATTGTTGATCAACCAATTCTTCAACTTTCTTTTGTGATTCATAGAGCTCCTCCTTGAGCTGAATCTGTTCCGCAGCAAGCTGTTGATTCTCCATAATGTTTTTCTGATTGACTTGAAGAAGTTTTGCCCACTTCTCTTGGAAAATAGCTAGCTGTTCTATTGTGTCATCTTTTGCGTCATCCTCTACTGTCACTTCAAACTTATACTTGTTTAACTTCTTTGTGAGTTGTTCTGCAGTCCTTTTACTCAACACATTCATCTATTTGACCAAGTCCACGACTGAGAGTTGCATTCTTGTCTATAATACAACTGTTAATTTCTATCTCGAGACTTTGTTTCTCCAAGGTAATCTTCTTGTTGACCCATAGAGACTTTTGTCATTTTGCTTCAACGATATTAAACATTTCTTTGAGATCTATATCATCACCGGAGACCTCTTCATCACTATATAAGGATGATAAAGCACATGTTGTCTAGCGTTCTTTTCGTCATTTATTTCCATATGTGGCACTTGTCTCTTTTTCAGGTGAGGTTTACTCTTCTTTTGAATCTATATCTTCTCTTTAGATCCTTTGTAACCATATGCAATTGTTCTTGAATTTCATCATCCACATCAAGATCACTATCTCACTTGAATCATGTTTTTCAACAGGGATGACACACGGCTTTTAACTTCTCGTGTTTTCATTCATCTCCAATTCAATTGTTTCTAGGTTTTCCATAAGCTCATCAAAAGACATGCTTTTGACATCTTGTGACTGTCTGATTGCTTTAACATCTATAGCGAATTTTATTGGAGGAGAACGCAGAACTTTTAACGCAAATGGTTAACCCAGTCCTTCAGCTTCATTTGCCATGTCTTTAACTCACCCATGAAAATTTATGATGGACTTAGTTTCCTCCATTTTAAGACTTTCAACATCACAATCTGAAGTTTGTTTTTTTTATTTTTGTAGTGCCTTCATGAATAGTAAGCAAGATCTTCCATGCTCTCTTGCCCTCGGTACTGTTTGAGTTAAGATAGAATTGAGTTAACTTAACTGCTTCAATGATTGCATTCAAAGTTTGGTTGTTGAATTCTGCAGTAGCTTTTTCATTTTTAGGATATCTTTTATATGTTTTTGGAATTAATTATTAGGGAGCTCTACGTTTTTCCAAACTTTTCCACCAAGAGACTTAAGGAAGGCTCTCATTTGACACTTTCAAAAAGAGTAATCATGGCCGCATAATAGAGGTCAGAAAACAATGGCACCTTCTTGAATGTCTCTCTTGATGATAGATCATATCAAGCTAGTAATTAAGCTTTACTGCTCTGATACTAGTTGAAATAACCAAAGTGCAGTTGGTATAACCAATAAAAATAATCTATGCAAACATATCGGTCCAATAAAAGTTCTACTAAATTTGGGCATATAGTTATTGTAATGTGGTCTACAAGGTGATACCCAAGAATTCTTTGTTGTAAACTCAAAAGGGTATTACCTTCCATTGTAAACCTCAACCAAGGAGCTATCACTGAAGGGAGAGAACTATTATCTACTGTTCTACTTTGCCAAGAAATGGCTAGAGTTATAAAAGGAAAGGGATTAGTCCTATATCCATGATGAATCTAGATCTAAAGAAAGCATATGATACGGTTTCCGGGCATTTGAACAAATCACGTTTGAGCTGAAATACCCAACTAAATTTCTAGATTGGGTCAAGTTCTGTGTTACTAGTCCCTCCTATTCTATATTGATGTATCAAAATATCAGGTCGAGAAAACACGTCTGCAAAAAGGGCATTTCCCTTATAGATACTTTGGAGGGGCCAATTACTGCTTCTCGAACTGAGGTAAAAAAAATGTGACATATTGCAGAATAATGCTTATTAGAGTCCTGTAATGTACTGTTGATGTTCTCTACATGTTTGTGAGCATGCTCAATAGAATCATGTACTTCATATGTCTGGAGGATTGTATCATGTGTCGTGTAACATATTCTCATCAAAAAGTTTAGAATAATAAAGTTTAAGGTACCCAAACCTGCAAGGTCATAATAATTGGTGTTCATGGATCTTTCCAGTTTCTTAACTATTGGATTTACCTGTTGTTTATTGTCACCATTATTTAGCCTCTTACTCTCTTAGGGTCAGTTTTCATGGGTGAGTTTTGAGGAGGAGGCTTTTTATAGACTTAGATCTGAAAACCTTAGATCTCCTTTACACTGTTAACATACTACCTTCGTCCTTGAATATTTGTCCAGTTTTGACTTTTTTTGGTCAGCTGTTTTCAACCTTTGACCTATAATTAAATAAAATATATATTGTATTTTACTTAAATAAAATAATATTCTAAAAATATTTGATATAATAAATCTAATAAATTCTTTTTGTATCAATATCTAATACCATTTTTATTTAATTTGGGGTCAAAGTTTACCAATTTTGGCCGAAAAAATCAAAAGTGGACATTCTCACGGACGGAGGGAGTAGTAGTTAATGAGTCAAGCATGTTCTCTTCAACTTATTCTTATCACCAATTACTTTTTATATTAGAATCAATTCAGATCAGAAACCTCAACTTTAAATATGACTACATTCAGACCAGATCAGATCTGAACTTATTCCAATCAAATCAAAATCATTCAAATAAAGTGAAGATAACAAGCCCTTAATCATCCTTCATATTGTAGTCGGTAAATTATTGCTAGATGCTTCTATTGATCAGCTCATCTGTGGTCCCATATTCCTATTGTGTTGGATTAATTCAAAAGGATGACCTGTTTGTCCCATACTCTTGAGCAGCTGTTGAGTAGCTCAGCTCCTCAATGAGAAGCGAGTATCAAGAAAGGGATATGTGATGAAAATGGGATAGTACTCACTATGGGCATGTTAACAATAGCAATACTATCTACTAAACAAGATCACATGAATATATTATTTTAACAAATGATATATGAACATGTGAAGAAAATAGATTTAATTTGACCTTGAATGAGACAAGAATTGTGGGAAGAAAGGAGTGGTGTATTTGATTCATTTGTATTTTTATTAAAATACTTTAAATTTCATTGATTTTAATTTTTTTTCTTTTATATGTCATAGTATTTTTGTTTCAAATCATACGTATAATAATATTTTTTTTGTGACATGCTCATTATTACTTTTACTTGTGCCGAATAGCTACAAAACCTCTTGTGATTTGAAAAATGGAAATCAATATTTTCTCTGTTCTCAAAACATATTTCATGAATCTTTGTTGTTTCAAAATCTTGCACATGCCCTCTCTTGATTACTGTCTGGTCAAGGAGACATTGGTGCCTATTTTCTTAATTTTTATTTTTTTATTTCGGAATTTCTTTTATGAGCTTTCAAGATGTTTTTTTTTCTATAAAACCAAAAACCAAAAATTTTAATTTCAAATGTATGTTGATTTTTTCATTTTTATTGTTATTTCAAAAATAAACAATTTTAAAATTTTAAACTATTATAAAAATTAGAAAAGAAATTTTAAAAAAAACTTTTCGAAGGAAACAAAGAGATGAAAAAGAGTTTTAAAATAAAAAATATTAAAAAATAAACGAATGAGAAATGAGTTGTTGCTCCTGTGGATTTGAAATAGCTGGCTATTGCCAGAGTTGGCTGATCAGCTTCTCAAGGTGGTGCCACCTAATTGGTTGGATTTTGGTCCAGTCCAAAATTTAATTTGAAAAGTGCTATCTCATTCTTAGTGGATTTGGTTCAAACAAAGTTACTACCTCCGTCCCATTGTCTTTGTCCAGTTTTGATTTTTGGAACTGTTCATCTAAGCATTTTGATTCATCAAATTCTCTCAATGTGTAAGCCTAAAAATAGTCATGTGTGATCTTGTTTGATTCGTCTTAACATATAGATTATTAATATATAATTTTTGTAATTTTTTAATATACAAATTACAAGATAAAATGGATTAAAGAAGTGTATTGGATGGTGTGCCAAAAGGTAAGTGGACAAAGACAGTGGGACGGGGAGAGTATTTTAAATCAAATCAATTTTTTAAAACTTTTTCAGTTCAATTTTATTATGTACTTTTTATTCGATGAATCTTCATTATCTCTTTCTCACCCACTCGGAAATATTGCAATTGCTCACTTTTTTATAATTTTGCACCGCTTTTGACCCAACTTTTGTTATTTTTGAAATAGAAACATAACTTTTATGTATTTTTAAAATTATGAACAAAAAGATGTAATAACAAATGAGAACTTCTCTTAATTGGTCCAAAATTAGACAATACGGAGTAACATTTTAAATATTGAGCATATAAGTATGTACAAAAAAGACTTATCAGTTTGATATTGATATAAAAATGATTTTATTTATCCAATCATTTTATAAAGTATTCTTTAAATATTGATTGCCGAATTGATATACCATGCAATTTTTATTTAATCATATGCTAAAGGTTGATCCTAGTTGATTATAAAAAGTCAAAAATAAACAAAACTTTGAGACAAAGAGAGTAAGAGTTTGTTCTCATTAATTTATTATTATTATTATTATTATTATTATTATTATTATTATTATTATTATTATTATTATTATTTGTTTTTATTGAAATTGTATCATATCAAATCAGAACAGATTAGATCCGAGATAGTTTTAAATATAAATTTAAAAAAAATCACCCTAAATAAGAGTACAATATAGAGAAAGTACCAAAATAGAAACTTCATATTTTTATCTCCAAAATAAGAGTTTGCATTGTGATAATGTATCACTGTATATGGACATTTGGCTACACCTCTTGATAATGTATATTACCATAGTTGTCATTGTAAATGTATTTTAATTCTTATTTCGAGAATAAAAACATAAAATTTCTATTTTGGTATATTTTCAATGTTTTATCCACATTTTGGTATTTTTCTCTAATATTAATTACATGATATCAGATCAGATTAGACTTTAATAAAATAAGTCGCCAAACCTTAATATTGAGTTCTACGGAGTACTTCGTATTTCTTATTGTTTATTTTAAATTTTCATGTCCCTTTGTAACTTTTATTTGGACGTCTATAAATGCCAAAATTGGGAGTTCCAAATTAGAGAAAGCTTTATGCTAGGTTGGTCTATGCGTCTATCCCATTTGTACACTAAGAATCTTCACCATACAATTTTTATTGATTCATTTTTTACGAACATCAAGAACGTGTGGTGGAGAAGCATGGGAGTACATTTGAGTTACATTTTCTATGTACCTCTAACATGTTCATTAGAAAAAGTAAACATGCCGGTACGCGTTGCGTAGTTGGCAAGGCAAAGGGTGTCAAGATAGTAAGATCCGAGTTTGATTCTTGGCAACTGCGCTGGTAGGCAACTATGTTAAGCATAGGGTCTCTGTATGTACCAGGTGCAGGCTCCACTCTTTACCACTAATCCATGACTAAAGTCCAATTTACCTCCTCTCAATGATCGCCGGCCAGGTTTCAAGGGCCCTTGGGATGGGGCTCATCTTTTTTTTAGAAAAAGTAAACATAAAACCTAAAAACTTAGTTCTAAATAAGAAATATTTAAACATGAAGTCTAAAAACTTAAATTAAATACTCTATCCGTCTAAAAATTTCATTCTCGTTTTGACTTGGCACACAGATTAGGAAAAATTAAAAAGTGTAAAGAATTTTCATGTTTACCCTTGATGTGATGGAATAAAGTGAATAGTATAGATAAAAAGTAGAATGGGAGAATGAAATTAATGGACGGAGAGAATACTTCATAGTCAAAGTTAAAAGTTGAAAAAAATTAAATAGAAATGGAAATTGATGAATGTTACTTCCTCTGTACGGAAATATTATTCCCATTTGATTTTTTGTCAACATTTGTAAATTTTGAATCCAAAATGTGAAAAAATGCATTGTATTGTGATATAAATTTGAGGCATATTTAAGGAAGAGAAAAAATAGAGTTGACTTTCCAAAATTGTTATTACTTTTTAGGAGGGGTGACGATGAATGAGTAGATAAGTTAGAGAAGAGTGACTTATTTTAAGGATAGTTTAGGTATTTTACTTTTAAAAGTTTACAATAACAAGAAACGAACAATTTATTTTGGAACGGAGAAAAAAAAGAAAGAGTAAATTCTATAATTGGTCCTTTATAACATGGGGTTTACCTATTTAGTCTTCTATTATCAAATATCATCCCAGTGATCCTTCTTTTATGGGTACCTTTCCACAAATAGTCCTTTTTTGATCTTCTATCATGTTGGTGTTAATTTGAGGGCTAAAAGTGTTATTTCACAATGATAATATATCTTTTTTGTCATACACAATTCCAAAGGTTGTTCCGTTTGCGTCGTTTGTGAATTACAGTCGTTTTTTACGACAACGATAGTCTACAAATGTGATCTTTCGTCAGAATTCTAGCCCACAATCATAGTCATTATTTTTGTGTTATCCGCTTAACCAATATCAGAACATGTCACTAGACATAATGTTGATGTCAAATTATACTTTTAGCCTTTAAATTAACACCAACACGGCAGAAGATCAAAAAAGGGACCTTTTATGGAAAGGTATCCTTAAAAAAAGGACTACGGGGGTAATATTTGATAATAAAGGACCTAATATGGAAACCCCCATGTTATAAATTATGGAATTTACTCAAAAAGAAAATATGTAATTTAAAATAGTACTCTCTCCGTCCTAAAATTAACTTCTCATTTGACTTTTCATGGTCTCCAATGTGACACTTTGACTATCAATATCTCAATTTTTATAGAAATATATTTTATAAAAATTATATATTTTAAAACTATGTTTTAAAATGAATCTATTGCTAATAAATTTATATGAAAATTCAATGTATTTTTTACTAATTATAGGACAGATGGAGTATCACTAAAAGCGAGAAGGTTGTGAT